TGAAGCACAAAACCCCACTTAAAAAATAGAAAAAAAACAACAAGCTGGCAAAAGAGCTTTTAGGAGAGAGAAAAAAAACAGCATCGCAAACCCCCATATCCACACATTTCAAATGAGCTTTCAAAATTCTCATAATGATGAATTTACTCACGGTATTAATTATAAACACTCTGCCCCCTTCCCCATAATAAAATAAACAGCCCTATTTGATCAGTGAGTCCAGCTGGGATTTTTTACAACAAATGAAAGACTGAGCAGCTGGGAATCGCATTAATGATGATGTCAGTCGCTAAAAATATTTTTGATTTTAACTACAATAACAAACACGATTCCTGAACTGCCTATTAAACAATATATATATATATATATATATATATAATGAATTGTCTAAATACACATTTAAAAGTAAAACTCAATATTATGAGGACAGAGGGCCTAAAGCGTTAATTAATCAGAAAGCGCGTTACGTAACATCACACTCTTAGCTGATAGCTGTGGTCGCATAGTACGCTACATTGAGGCTGAGGTTCAGCGCCATGAACAGAACGTTCTCCACCTTTCCGCCTCCTGCAATATTTATATAAAGGCGAATTTGCACTTCAAGGTGACGCCAGGCATAGATTTCGTCATGTGTGTAGAAGGGTTTCAGAAAGAACAGCTCCCCCTCGGCACCTCCCCACCCCACCGAACATGACTCTGTGTGACTCTGCATCACTCAGAGTCCGATCCCCCGGAACTGCCTCCGCCCCAGGGTGTCTTCATAACCCATGAATTCATAGCGCCGCGTGTGTAACGTGTGGACAGCTATGTCTCCGTGAAGCACACATGATGAAGAGGGAGGACCCCTACGCGGCAAGCGGCCAACGCACATCACCTTACGGGCTCTTGAAGTCCTCGATAAAAATAAAGTGTAAATTAAGCAAACAAACAAAAAAAACATCACGTTTCTCGCACCACCAGCCTCTCCCTGCAACACATACATATTCCACACAACCTGTCAGCTACAAATCACATGGACAGATTACATTACAGACCAAAGAGTAATTGCTTCACCCATAATGCTCATCGTAATACTTAGAGTGCTGTACTCCCATACGGCACTTATCGCTGTTATGTTCAGTGCCAGTGTTTGTGACTAAACTCTGCCTGACATTCCTCTTTAATTATGATGAAACCCCAACTATTCCTGCGAGCACATCATTAGACAGGATGCATTCCTTGCTGTCAGAGACAGAGCAAGGGAATCACTGTAATAGATTACAAGGCGATGCTTTATGGCTCTTTATTACAGATTTATGTGTCACATTAAATTAAACTGGCGTTCTGAGCATCAACCGAAGGCACATTTCATATAATATTTGCATACTTACACAACAGACAGCGAACTGAGACTGTATTTGTATATAATTAGCAGTACACTTGCAATAAGACAGCACCATTTTTCAGATTGGGTGTTTGATAGTGCAGAGTGGTCTTCCAGGTGGGCCACAAGGTTCAGAATATTATATAGTATTTGAGGTTCAGGAATAGCAGTCCATGCTTGGTCCAGCCCAGGCTCATCTGTGTTATACTGACATCTTGTGACTTCTTTGGGTAACCGGGATGTGAGTAGACCCTCAGACCACAGCAGGGCTTTTTATATAGCACATTTTATCAAACTTTATTTATAAAAAAACAGGCAAGTCAATTTGATTATTTGATTTTTCATTGCTACATGTGTCACACACAATGCATATTGTGTATTCACATTTGCATAAATTTCAATTTACAAAATTGCTTCCCCGGGCCGCACAGAGAACACGATGGGAAAATTCTGAATGTGTTACTGGGTCCTTGAAGTAAACAGACTGGAAATGGGAAATTCAGAGACACCAGTTCACCCAAATACTGACATCCCATCCATGCTGGTCCCTACTCTGCCTGGGGTAGTACTCTGCCAGTACTCAACTGGTTGATTGAAACAAAATGGTTTGGATTTTTACTTTCTGCACCTGAAAGGTCCGCCTCCGAGGCCATAGGGAAAGCCAGTGTTCTATCGCATCTCCCAAAATAAAGCAGTATCTTTCATAATGGCTGAAAAGCTAATGTATGAATAAGTAGGTGAAGGAATATGAAAGGTACAGAGTGCAAGGCTTTTAAATACTGAGAAAATGTTCATTTACTGGGTGCATTACAAGAAACAATGAATCATCGACACAGTAGCTGTGTTCCAGTAAACAGACCAAAATTCCACTTACCAGAAATCCTGTCATGCCATTTCAAAGTCCAAAAAAATCAATCTCGGAAAACAAAGGTTTGTTCAAGAACTAATCAGTTTGCAGACTATACATACTTATCTCTGATATTTACCGCGTCTCGTTTAGTTACTAGGTGCTTCCTGAATCAATAATATTTGTGATCCTGAATGAATCATTATTTTTGGCCCACTGAAGTTGTGTCACTGACAGGGAAGGATTTGGGCTTGGTCTTCTGTTGACATCTGTCTTCTCGTTTTTGCACTAGGCGTCTGTGTATCTGTAGTGCTCTATGCCATAGACCTTGATTTGATACTAAGTCAGTTAAACAGATCAAAGTCTCACCTTGTCTGATTTAAAGTTTTTACACTCGGTTAATTTGTTTTCTAAACTGTGCCTATAGTTTCTTGAGCAGTGACAATAAATAGTAAAATTTTTATGGCCGATATCCATCCGCCCATTTTCTGTGCTTCCTTGTCCTATGCAGGGCACAGGAGTCCGAAACCAGTCCCCCAAGCTACCAACATGGGCGATATCAGGATTCTAAAACCGTTGTTGTTTGTCTAGGAAGGAGTGGCCAATCGTATCCAGAAAGGGCCAGTGTGTGTGTCGGTTTTCGCTGCAGCTGCCTAATTAGGTTACTAATTAGAGGACTGATTGGCTGAAGGGTCCTCACACCTGGGTTTGAACAGCCGACCTAAAGGTTACCCCAAAAACCTGCATACACACCGGCCCTTAGTGGATTGGAATTGGCCAATGCTGGCCAAGGAATAGTGTACTGTAGAAAAGAAAATTGAGTTAATTTGGTCTGCATTGTGACTAAAACTTGAAGAGTGCAAAACTTTGAATCAATTTGAACAATACAGGTCCTTGTTTTTGTGAAAAGTTAAGTCTTTCCCATCCTCACGGTACGATGCCTCATCAGGGAGAGGCGGCCGGCGGCAATGACACGGCTTCAAACTGGCCGGAAGAATCCAGGGCGAAAACCATGTCAATACCATCTCCAAGAAAACCAGCGTGAACAGTGAAGCGGTGCCACATGACGGGGGCCTCAGGTGGGAATGTGCTCAGTATGCTGGCGTTTATGGTGCCCGGATCTGCGCCTTTAAAACATCCAATTACTGGTGCAACCGTGCCAAAAAAAACCAAGACATCAGAGTCTGCAGAGGGAGGATCACCACCAAGACGTGGGGTTTATGGAGTGAGAGGCAAGGGAAGCTGGATGTGGTGGAGCTGGAAATGGATCACTTACAGTACATGCCATATTCTTATTATTCTAATATTACGCTTATATGGACTACATTAGGATACTTTCAGTCAAGCAAACAGACCATTCGCCATTCAGGAAATGGACAACAATGAAAAAATGTTCTGACTTTCACAGTCAAGAAGGACTTTGCAAATACTGAAATCAGTTCAATTTTTTATGACAATTACAGCCTTATTCCCCAGCAAGTGAAGCATCACAAAGAAGAAATCACAAAGACTTATGACCAGAGGTGGACATTCAGGTCCAGAAAGTAAAAATCCAAACCCGGATTTTGTTTCAACCAAGCAGTTGAGTATGAAGAGTCACAGTCATAGAGTACTCAGCTGGTTGGTTGAAACAAAATCCTGGTTTGGATTTTTACTTTCTGGACCTGAAATGTCCGCCTCTGTTTATGACTAAGTCATAACCAGGCTGAAATAGACAGGAAATGCAAACAAGATTCCTGGTGATTGTAAACTAGAAGCAGAAAACGTGAAGGTGAGACAAACGGTGTGGACTCAGCATAATGAGAGACGCTGGACTGGAAGACGACAAGGGTGGACACATATATATCGTTAAAGAAGAGAGAGAAAAGATGGAGCATAAGGATCTGCAGTTAAATGTAGATGTTGAAAGTTATGGAAGCTTTTGCCTGCTTGAAACGATCAATAACAACAAAGGGTCCAGGAGTGGAGATGTCGCAGTCTGGCTGGGAGCAACGAGGAAAAAAAAGTCAAATGTATCAAAAATACTGACATCTCTAAGAACAAAGATCAAAACTCCACAGAATATGGTATTTCGGTGACTCTTCATGGATGTGAAAGCTGGACAATGAAGAAACAGGACTCCTTTGAACTTTGGTGTTGGCTAAGACTTTTAAGAAGACCGTGGACAGCAGGACAGACAAATGGTTTCTAGAACACATCAAGCCTGAACTTTCACTTTAATGACAAATAACCAGAAGGTGTCTTATTTTGGGCATCTTATGAGAGGACCCAGTGCACTGGAATACATCATAAAAGTTAGAGGTAAAATAGGACTCGGACTACCAGCAACAAGGTGCATGCACTCGATTGTCAGAACAATAACCCTGGCTTTTGAAAGCCCAACGACCTCAAAAGAAGACAATGTTCTGGAGAAACGCCATATATAGCCACTAGGAGTCAACATCAACTTAATGGCAACAAATGATAATTAGCTCATACCAATTTAAAATTTAATATTTTTTTCAGAGAAGATAATTCCTTCTTAAATTGTGCTCTCGTTCAGCACTATGTCACAAGGAAATATTATTTATATTTTAAAATAGTAAATAGCAATAAAATCCATCCATCCATTTCATTCTGACTTATCTAGTCCAGGGTCATGGAGAGCCTGCAATCTACTGTATGTCATGATGCAGAAGACTCAGATGGGACGCCAGGCCATTGTAAAACCGGCATGAGAATTTCTTAGCGGGCTGTACGACTGTAATGCATGTCACTATGATTGCTAGAAGAACTAAAATAACAGATACATCGTCTTTTTGTTCTTTTTATTGCTTTTAAAGTAACAAATGGTAATAGTGTGAATCAAACTTTACAGAATAATATAATAGATTTTAATATATTAAAATCAATACACATTATGTGCATCGGTGCACACAGAGTAGAGCAGTAAGCTGTGCAGGGAAATAACGTTTTAGTAATAAACAGATCATTCCTTCATTTTTGGTGATATTTAAAGTTGTTAGAACAAAGACTAAGTACACATCTTTATTTCTGATGGAAGCTTTTTGGAATACAGGTTATATTGAATACCGGATGGTTCTAGAAAGAAAAGAAAAAATATAAATGTTTTTGTGTATTAAGTATCACATATAATGTATTGTCATTGGGGTGCATAATATAAGCAAAAATGAGTGATTTGCAAAACGTATTGATCGCATACATGTATTTTGGCTGAGTCTGGTGGGCCTTACCTTGAAAGCACTCGGGAATGGCTGCAGTGCCATCGACGCACTGCATGGGCACTGGATAACCGCAGTTCTTTTCCTCGTTTTTGCAGTACACGGCTAATCGCTCACCGTGCAGTATTTTGTTCGGTTTCAAGTCCTCGATCCATATTTTCCTTCCGTCGTAAAATATCCGGCCTCGTGTAATGCCAATTCTGCAAGGGGCTGAAATAGAACAGGACTTCCGGTACATTTTTATTTCTTGTGTAAGGTGTAATATTACCCGCAACTCAATCATAGAGCTTATTTTTTCATACAGTCATTGAATTATTCAGGTTGTGCTCCATTTGCCAAGTCTGCTTTCCTGCATGCCGCGTAATGACCACCTAACCTTACCTCTGCAAACGGGTAGGGAGGACCATTTTCCCGTTTTTTCGCACTCGATTTCCGTGGGTCCATCGAGGATGTAGTCTATGTTGCAGCCATATTTTACTCTTTCTTTATAGCCGTGCTCCTTCATTATTGCGAAGGAAATGAATCCGTTATCGAGTCTGGGTGGCACTGGACATGTAACAACTGAAAAAGCGAGGGACAAGGGAACGAGGGGACATTACAAGGAACACGGGTGGGCGGGTCATGACCACTGCAGTTGCATAAGCTCTGTTCATACTATGTTTAAATAAAAAAGACAAGGAAAAAGAATTGTTCGATGGATGGATGGATGGATGGATGGATTGATAGGTACATGCATGCATGCATGCATAGACAGATGGAAATGTGACGCTCATTAATGTGCTCTATACAGTAGTATAGTGAGTAGGTCACCTAGTGCTTAAAAAGCTAAACTGGGGTCTTGATGAAGCTCCCATTGACCCTGCAGGATCCTCTCGCAGTACTGCATGGGGCTGGGGCCCCATCTCACCCACCTTACAATCCACTGGAGGTCATGCGATCACGCATGTCACTGTACTTACGGTGGCATTCTGGCATTTCAGTCCAGTTCCCACTGGCAGTGCAGGAGCCTCTCACATTGCCTAAGAGTGCAAACGGCGGCATACACTCGTAGGTCACGCCGTCGCCAAACACCGTAGTGTTGCCTTGGAATGGCTTGGAATAGATGATTTTGCCGTGCTTTGGTATCTCTGGCAGACCACAGGTTACAGCTGGTTTGGGTAGGGGAACAGTTGGTGAAGATGGAAAAGTCACTCAGAATTGGCAGGTGCTGTAGCTGTTATTTGTACAGTAAGACACCGATTCTCAGCGCAAACTGTATTTTCACATATTTGTAGAATCAAACTTAAATTTGAGGCTTTGTTGAGTTGTTGGCTTTATTGATCGCCGCACGCATACAGTATGTAACCTGTTGAAGGTGGAGGTTCTTACCTTCACAGAAAGGCGGGGGTTCGCTCCATGTACCATCTGCCAAACACTCACTCATGTTAGCTCCGTGCTGAACGTACCTGCGACACGTAACATGCTTTTCATGCTGGAAGATCTCATGTCAACTATGATGAGTGTTAACAAACTGCACATGCATACCATGTATACTGATTTGGTTTGGAAAGTCCCGTTGATTGCGGAGTAAGGAGCTCACTACCAACCTAATTTCCTGATCAGGAGAATGACATGGGAGAAGCCCAAGAATTCAGTAGAATGTTGATAAATGTCAAATTGGTTTCTAGTGCTGTGTTTATTGTTTGCTGTCGTTATGGCATGCCGATGATTATTGTAGGCTGACATAACACATTGTGTCCATTGAATGTGTCCCTTACCCATCATGGCATGTGTAGTTAATAATGCTCCTGAATTTGATGTCAGTCACTTCAACATCTCCATGCTGCAGACGTTCAGGCACAGAACACCACTTGGCTGCATGAAGAAATATCAGATTTTTTGTAAGCAGGACAGTACATAACAGTAATACTTTTTGTTGTGCATGGAGAGCAATAAGGGTCTCACGTTCACACTTGAGTGTGGGGTTGGTCCATTTCCCACTGGCAGTGCAGATGACTCTTCGTGAGCCTTTACTGGGTGTATGTCCGGGCTTACAGGACAGGAACACCTCTGCCCCAACTTCATACACTCGCTGAAAACCAGCTGGGTCCATCTCATCGCTTAAAGGGGGCCGGCCACACACTGCAAGCACATTGAAGCACATGTTTCTAAAGAACATCCAGACGTTTTCGTTCCCTTTAAGCTGTGCCAAAATTTTTCATACACCACAAGAATTCATTCATCAATTTGTGCAGTTCAACAATTAAGAGCAAAATTACTTTGGTTTGCACAAGTAATGATGGCTAAAATACACTCATGGTAACAGAAAAAATAAAGTCAGAACATTAAATATATAACTCAGGACAGAAATGTCTGCTTGCTCCCTTGTGCTACATCTCTGACAAGAGACTGTGATTCTGAATGGTAAATGCTAACTGCTAAAGGGTACCTTTTCCTGCGTCCGCCGGCATGTACGTGGAGAGCTGACATAGCAGCAACAAAAGAAGGTTCCGGAGCATCTCTGTGTGAGGTACAGCGGACACTTTCCTCATAAAACAGCGAGTAAGGACATACATAAGAGCTCATATCAGCTCAGTGTCTGTAGAGCTGTGCTGAGTATACAGAGATAACAGCTAATGATGTCACAGAATTAGGCAACATTTGAAAGCCCTGATCCAAACAAGGGATTCTGCAAAATGTCAGCCTTCGCAAGATGGACGTTGTGATTCACCAACTGCAATATACATTTTTGTCATGCATACTGACGAATTGGAGTATGGGGTTTGGTTTTAAATCACACTCTTCTTGCCTGTAATTTAGCAGTCCAGCTTGATTGAGAGGAACATGTCACAAGGAATTATTTAATTATATACGCATGTTCATTGCACACGCAGATGTGAGCAGGCCTTTATGTAGTGAAAACAGAGCAAACAGTACATGACAGGAAGTTCAAGTAATACACTCTTGCCGTTAAAATAAATCATTACTGGAGCTTTGTGTGATTATACAGAGAGAAAAATTTCCACCTATAAAAATCCCAGTGTGATATTAGTTTATCTCACTTGTAAAAGTCCAGGGTCCAAAAAGGAGCATATTTACTCACAGTTCAAAGGCAACTTTCAATAAATACAACTGAAGCAACACACTTTTGATATATTTGTTTAGTAATAAAAATATACCTGGAACATAAATGAAGAGGAAAACATCAGAAGTATGAACAACATTAAATATATTTAGTTATGGAATTTACAGTGTAAGCTTTCCTGTTTAGGTCCAAGCCAGGAGAACAGTTCCTGTACTTAGCAAATTATTATTTAAAAACGTTTTTTTATGCCTATATATGTAATAGCAGAAATTTAAACATTCTAAATCCAGGAAATGTAAACTGTTACATAAGGGTCAACCTCTCGTTTGATCTTAATTTAATTTTAGTGTTATCCACCAATGGTTTTTGTTTAAATGTTATACATGATATATGAATGTGTTTGATGCGAAAGCAACACATTAATCATTTTTAGCTTGTCTTTGTTGGTTCTGCCTATCGGTGAGTATGATCTTCTCAGAGTGGGGCCACTAATCTCATCACATTGATCATATCCCAGTTACTCTGAGAAGGACAGTGAGTTCCTCTTAGCTGCATGAGAAACACTGGTCATCATAATAGATTGCATTGTTACCGGTCTTTGTCTTTTCAGGGTGTGATATGACTATTATGCTGCATGAATGAATTGTGACATCTTTGACCTAAGTATTCATTTCATTATTAATATTTTTGTCCTTTTATCTTTAATGTTGTACTATTATTACTCGAATCATTCTTACTTTTTTTTTCTTTAACTTGACTTCTGTTCTCCTTCCAGAACCTGGAATCAATTTGGGTATTGGACCTCGGTCAATGCCCAAACACAGACAAGGCATTTGAATGTTTTTTTTTGACTGTTTTCTGCGCTGTATGAAGAGATAGCCTTATCACGCAGTCTGAATCACAAGCCCTGAACGGAATCAGCTGGAGGCCACAGAGAGGGCTGAGCTCACACACCTGTGGTGGAAATCAAATTAACAGCACCTATATGCACAAAAGGGCATTGTTAGCAGGCAGCCGACTGTAAGTAAACTGCAGCAGAAGTTTTGAACAATTACACACAAGCTTGGCCATAAACTGGAGATCTGGTTGGGGGCGGTGGGGGGGGGGGGGGTTTGGCAGAGAAACTGAAAGCTTCCTGCATTGTTTTGAAAAAATGGGACACCTCCATTCCTCGCCTCTTTGAGATCTCCCCTCTCTGTTTCATTCCTACACCAAAGTGCTATACATCTAATCACAAATCAGTGATCAACGTATACTGTACACACAAACCAACAGCTTGATGTCATGCTGCATCACCTGGACAATCAGTCTCTGGTTCAGTGGCTGCATTCCAGGTTAAGTCTTGTGAACCCCCTTGACTGAAATTTGCCCTAGTGTACTCTCTGTACACTAATGATGACACTTCCAGAAACCCGACTGTCAAAATGCTAAATTTTACAGATGACACCACCCTTGGTGATGAGACGGTAATGAGGAAACGTGGTGAAAGGAGACAGACTGTCTTGCAACCTGGTGCACCAACTATAACCTGGAGCTCAACACCTTCAAAACAGTGGAAATAATAACTGACTTTTGCAAATCCCCCTCCTTTGCATCTCTCCTGCTAAAAATCAATGGTGCAGCCATCAAGGTGGAGGAGTCCTTCAAATTATGGGCACCGCCATCCCCTACACATTCAAATGGGAGGAGAATGTGACAACCGCAAGGAAGAAAGCACTGCTGCGCATATATTTCTTGAAACGACCGAGGGGGGGAAGACCCACTGTCACCTGACTCATTCCGGTACATATGCGTAGAACCATTATTGGAAGCAGAGCCTCATCCTCCGTCACTGTCTGTCGTGGCACTGCATCTGCCTGCTTCAAAGGCGAAACTCAGCACGTTATCAAATCCGCAGAGTAAGCCATTAGCTTGCAGACTCCCCTCCACCGAACAACCAGAACAATTCTAGAGTAAGGAAGAGTGTTGACAAGCTTGTTGCTGACCCTCTCCCTACCCAGGACACCACCTGTTCCAAGGACTCACTTCAGGAAATTGCTACAGATAAATCAAAACCAGAACAAACAAAAATTTGGACAGCTTCTCTCCCAGAGTTCCTGTCTTCCTGATAACCCCAAAACAATTACTTCCTAAATGCTTCCTGCCAATTATTAGATACTCCTGGAATGCTCTTATTGCTGAAACTAGAATTCACGCATTATTACTCGCGATCAGCTTGTTTACATTGCTGATATTGCATTACAAATTCATCCTTTATCCAGTTACGCATTGTGCATGTTTCATTCCCTGTCAAATGTATAAATTCCCAATGTAGTCAGCAAGTAAACCTGACTCTGAGATAGTATCTTTTGTCAGCTCCAGGGCATGTATGACAGACAGTGGAAAACAATACTGTAATAATTAAGTTATAAACAGCATCACATTTTAGAACAGAAGGCAATTAAGATGGTGCCATTTTAAAAATGACCATGAAAATCCAAACAAGAACGGACAAAAAAAAAAAAACTCCACTTAATGATTTAGGGGGGAAATTACCTTTGATGTCTTAGGCTCAGCTCCTGACTAAGCTAAAATTAACTTAACTATGATTTCTTTTGTCTGCAAACCCTTGGCACCAAAAAAGGAATGTGAATTAATCAATGCAACAAATGAATTTCCTCATGAAAACATCTACCCATCCTCACTTATATACACACATGCCAGTTTTTTTAGGTACACCTGCTCAGTAATGTAAATAACCTTTGCCTCCACACAGTGAGTCAAGTATCTGCAGCCGAATACAAACAGCAGGCGCACAGACAGGGGCAAGAGGTCCAACGCACTGTTCAGCTGAGCATCAGAAAGGCTCAGATAGCTGATCCAATTGATTTTGAACCAGGTGTGATTGCTGATGCCAGATGTGGTTGTTCCATAATCTCAGAAACTGCCATCATCCTGGAATTTTCGCACACTATCATGTGTACACTTTACAGAGAGGGGCGTGAGCCACAAAAATCACCCAGTAAATGCATTTCTGTGCCTGAGAACACCCCGTTAATGAGTGAGGTCACAGGAGAACAGCCAGGCGCGTGGAAGCCAGTCGACACAGTTGGTGGGACTATTGCTTGACACCTTTAGCGTTAGGGGTTTGAATACCACCGCTGTTCTGGGCAAGATCCAGGCTAACTGTATTCAGGCGGAAACAACAATGCGTTGACGGGAGGGGGCGCAAAAATATCGTCTGCTTCGTGTTCTGCAAAGGCTAAATCCAGCCGTGTGTGTGTGTGTGCAATTTCTCCTCATGTCACAAGGGATTTCTGCAGTCCAAAGACATCCAGTATGGATAATTAGTGCTGATAAGGTGTCCGTAGAGTATGACTGAGTGTTCCCTGCCATAGACTCTCATCCTGACCCCCCCCCCCCCCCCGTAACCCTAAACAGCATAAAGGGTTGGAAGGTTTAGAGGGTGGATGAAAAAAAACTAAAAATAGACATTTTAAGGAGAAACTTTAAGGAGTCCCTGATAATAGGAATCAACACTGGTAGTAAACATGGGCAGATTGAGAAACATTATAACAAATTAGTAATTCGTGTTTATGACAGAAGGAATATTAAAACATATAAGTTTTATGTAAGGCATTTTCAACTTAATATTTTTTTCGCCATCGAAAAAAACTCGACATCGTTCTTATACTTAACCACCAGGCGTCGCTATGAGGCTACTGGAAAATTAGGCAGGACCGCGTGTGCATTGGTTTGTGTTCAACTTCTGTCAACAATACATAGCAGTTTTATAAACTGTTCTACATTTAAAAAAAAATAATTCAGTTCAACAAGCAAGAATAATGGCTTCTGGGTGATTAACGACGTCTAAGGATAAATCGTTGCATTACTTATCTACATGAATACATGCCTTGTCTGGCATGAGAAATATACTCTTTCTTTACCGTGGTTCTCTAAAACCAGAACCAGGGAGTAATCCGGCGTTCTGTGGAGAGGAAAATGCAGAAGTACGGATTTGGTGAATGATGGTTAGACTCTGTAGCTGCGGCTCTATTTGCTGTTACGCGCTTCTTCCATAGGGTGGCGCACGTGTCCTCCGGGTTCCATCAGGGACCGACCGTATCCCTCCCACGGGAGAAGCGGTGGCGCTGACGTCACCCGGAGTGAAAGGAGGAAGCCGCGCGCGCGCTCCTGGTGAGCTGTCATTAACTAGTTGTAGCTCCAGCGAAAGGGGGGAAACCCTCTGACACAAACTCGGCAGCTTCAACCAGCAGCCCCCGCTGAGCCGATAACTAACAAACAAAAAGACAAGACAGTGTAAAGAAGAGTTACTAAGCGGGACAGAAGGCTGTAACGACTGCCATGGCTGATGTTATACATACGGACGATTCGTCTTCATCGGACGTCGCCAACCGGTTCGCCCGTAAAGGCGCTCTGAGGCAGAAAAACGTTCACGAAGTTAAGAACCACAAGTTCATTGCTCGCTTCTTCAAGCAGCCGACCTTCTGCAGTCATTGCACCGATTTTATCTGGTAAGTGCGTTTGTAAAGCCTTTACTTTATTCATTTAACAAACGTGGGCGGTTTTTCTTCACCTTCTTCAAACCGTTTCACTTTACCCATTTCAAAGTGCATTAAGTGACGGTGCTGAACTTCCGTGACACTTTTGTCCCCCTCCTTTTTATAAAATCAGTATGGAAAGTAACTTTTTTGTTTTTGTTGTCTTCCTGTTGCACGGCAAACTTTCGTCGATAAGCAGAATAGCGACGCACTCGCACATCCCGAAGCTGGGATGTTTATCCCCAGTAAGGAGACCCATCCGGAGTGGGGGGAAGCCTGTCTGCTTCAACGCCGGGGTTGAAGCGGCTCCCTGGCTGTGGGGAAAGCGCTGACAGATCTGCAAAAGTGTCGCCTAACTAATCTGGGAAAATCCGAGATGAGCGCCTGCACTGGGGGCCCCGTTACACTCCTCCGGTAGACGCTGAGCGGATGCGTTCGTCTCGGATAAAGTGGGATGTCTATTCGCTGGATGCTTCCCTAAGCACGGCTTTACTTCAGTACAGGCCAATAAATATTTGGGAAATAGACGAGCGGTGGGAGATCTCTGCCAGATGCCTGTGGTTTTGACGAGCTTTCTTTAACTGCTGAGGTATTTAATAGACGTACAACTGTAAGAAGGTATGTCGTTAAGTTTGCAGCGTCTGTTTGCAGTTCCTTGCATTTATAATGTTACTGAGTGTACTTGCATGGCATGGCAGCGAGGAGTTGCGATTGGCCGCCTCGGTAGGTGATGCACCTCTCCTCCCCACGGATCTCTCGCAAATTATGTGTGATCATTAGTTTCCTGTTAACTTAACAGCCGCGGGTAAACATGGGAATGCAGTGGGCTGCCCAAGGTTTTTTTTTTCTTTTTTTTTTTTTCCTTTTTTTTTGTTAGAAAAGCAGAATCTTAGTAGACCTTGTACAGTACAGAACACCACGGAACAATGTACTTTCATCACCAGTTACTTGGCACTCAAGTAATAAAGGTGTAATTCACTGGGGAGTAGGGGTCTCCTTGAATTAACTTTCGACAACATATCTGCAGTGAACATGTTGCTTTTCCCTGACCCTCAAGCTGGCAAAGCCTCATCCAAAGGTTGCTGGTTGAAGACAGCCTTAGCAGAATAGTTACATGTCCACGGGCACCTTGAGGGAGCCTCTTTACCCCCAGTTCACTGTGATCCCCAAGTGTCCTGGAGAGCAGGATGAGGGAAAGGAATTTCCCCACAGGGATCAATAAAGTATTGCTATTCTATTCTACGTATTCAAAGCATGAACCTCGATAGAAGTATGAGGCATTAAAGAGTGTTATCCATGTCATGTGGGGCACTGACCTTGCGACATTCAAGGGGCAGCCTGTGTGCCTGTAATCACAAGGTCGCCGGTTCAAACCCAGCCTCAGCACGTCTGTGGGTCCTTGAACAAGACCCTTAACCCCCAGCTCCCTGGGCGCCGCTATGGGTGGCTGCCATCCGTGGACAACTTACTCCACAAAGAACAAGTTGAGGGAGGCGTAAAGACAATTTTTCCATGGGGATTAATAAAGTATCGATTATTATTATTATTCGTTCAACAAGTGGAAAATTATAGAGCAGGATTGTTCAGTCTTTCAAAGTCATTCAATGTATCTTTGGTGATTAAATGTATTTAGGTGTGTTCTGCATCTTTTGACCACAATCTACTGAAAGTGTGTCTCGCAGTGTAAAAGATCCAGTATACTATACTATAAAGATCCAGTATACTATACTTTAAAGATCCAGTATACTATGTACATGTCAGAAGTTGTTGCTGCTTACCAGCTTATCTAGTCTACTATGTTTCCTCTGGATATGATGTTTGCCCACATCCTTACAAGCAGTTTAATTCTGAGAAAATGTCACTTAAACACATACATAAAACACAGATATGTTTTTCTGAGTCATTTTATTCATTTTTATGTCAGTTGACTGGTTTTTATGTCAATTGAACATGTAAACATGAATGAAACCCCAATAGAAGACCACCCGGGGCAGGAGGAGCTACGACAGGGACATGATTGGCCCCCTGCAGGAGTGCCGCACCTCATTGCCTCCCCATTGCTGCAAGTTGCCGCAGAAACGCTTGTGGGCCCTTTGCATCGCGGTTGGTTAAATTAATTTGCGTTTCTTTGCTTTTTCGCAGGGGATTCGGGAAGCAGGGATTCCAGTGCCAAGGTCAGTACGACGACGATAACGCAACGTTGTGGGCCATTCACGTTTCCGCACGTTGCCCGAATGTGTCAGTGGAGTTGTTGCATTTTGAAGATGATGTGATGTTCATCTTCCACCTACAAGTCAAGTGCTTTTTTGCACATTAATTTCTAATGATGTGGTCCTCTGCTGATCAGTGTTTACTCATTATGTTGAAAGTGTTTAATAGAAAACCTTTGTTCCCTTGCCAACCAGCATTAATTCCATGATAACGAAGGAGAAACAGACAGCCCAAAAGAAAGCAGATGTCTTAGCTTTTCAGTCATTCAAGCCCTTTTCACTATGATATTGTGTTTAGATTCAGAAGTTTTGTTGAAAAAAATGTTTAGTGTTGCCAAGACCAAGGGAATTTCTGTTTCAAAGGGAGGTATCAAGGGGTGATCTGAGGGAAGTATCTGAAATCCCCAGTAGTGTGGACTTCAAGATGAGAGTAGAACACAGGGGCGTAACTTGAAGTAATCTGACAGTTGGGAGTGAGGTGGATTTGCACTTTTGAGAGCGAGACTCCGGAAATGGGGCTGAAGTCCAAGTGTCTGGGCACTTTCAGCTTGCTGCTGGATGACATGTTAGACCTTCGAAGCCCCCAGATGATCAGTTCAGGCTGGACCAAACTGCAGAAAAATGTGAGATACTAATGCTTTTGAGAAATGTACCATTTTGAACACATTTTGGTGAATTAATGAAGTTCATTTTAAGTTTTTTTTCCTTTTGTCCATTAGTTACCTGATATTTTGCCAGTAATATGCCGAATCGTAATCTGTTGGTGTGATTCCGTTGTGTCATTCCCCTGCCAAGAATTGCAGAGAACCCCTTCTGCTTTGTGCTCCTCCTGTTATCCTTGTGAAATATTTGTAATATGTTTGTCATCTGGAATCCCATTGCCATCCCAGGTGTGGAATCACATCTCTGTTCTATTGGGTGATGGTTCAGATAGATCATTTGAATGAGCCAATGGGCTGCAGAGCCATACATGAAATATCTTGGTTGTACATGGAACCTTTGGAAAGCAGGTTCCTTAATATGTTCCCTCATGTGCTGAAGTACAAAAATGCTTCGTACATTATACAGTACTACTTGTGGGTGTAACCCACAAGACTGTCTTGTATTGTACTATCTGCATCAGTATTTTTTACCTGTATTGTTCAACGCTATCTTGTGTAGTCTTTGTAGCTGAGGTTGGCTGAATTAATGTTTAAGCATTCCAATGTACCTGTTCAACATGCCAGTAAAGCATCTTGAATCTTGAGTATGAGAGGAAACGGGATCTGTGAAGCTACACTTACTGGTGTCTCTTGCAGGCTGCGCACCAGCACGCTGCATGTCTTACTGCACTAAAAACAAAGCGTGTTTCGCTCCCCCCCCCCCCCGGCACCCAGTCTATTACATGCCACTGTTTCACATTGTGTTACTGCATGAGTCATTACAGAGTCCTTCCGTTTTGTTGTCAAACACTGTGTAGTTGAGATGGGTTTTGTGGTACTTGTTGAAGCTGCAAAAAATGTTTGTTCATAAAGGAAAATATTTTCTAACACGTGGGGAAAAATTGAATGGCAGATGGCATTAACTCTGGATTATTATTTGCATGAATTTGAGGCATCATGAAGATAATTTGCAGAAAATATGGCATACGCGAATGAATTAAGGCTTGACGTGGCTCTTGGAAATCCATCTGTAGGAAAAAAAATGGTAATTTTATTGACAATTACTGCTCATACCACATGTAATGCACCTTCCAACTTGGGCCTTACTGCGAAGCACGGCTGTGTGTTTGCAAGTAAGCGAAGGCCCTTATAATTGATAGTGTATCCTGCCAGGAGGGTGTGTAGATGTAGACGTGCAGTCAGCCCTGCGTGGGTCCTGCACGCCACCGCAAAGCTACTCGGAGCACGGCAATCAGAAGCTCACGGCCCTCGGCTTAGTGTAAATGCAAGCTGCACCTTCTTCCCGGCCGCTTAGGCTCCGCCTCTCTACAGAGCTGCTTCCTTTGGTCCGCGGGACCGTCCTGCGTATCTCCGAGCACGTTCTGCTGGGTGGGGTCCCGTCCATACGGTCGACCCACGTAAATCTGGGTTCTGCCGGAGGGATTAGCTGCACATGGACCTACCCAGTGTGTTTGTCTGAATGTGGAGAGGTGTGTAAAGTAGGATGTGGTTTATGGTAAAAGCAAAGCAAGCTGTCGGTTCAGCAAAAAAAGGATATAGTTTCAATTCACTGCTCTGTTTTTTCCTCTATTGTTTCTTTCTGCAGGTATTTTGAATAGTCAATATATAGTTTGTACAATGTATCTTTGGTAACACTTTACTTGATGGGGCACCAATAATATAGTATTATACTGTCACTCAGGGGCGTTGCTAGAGATTTTGGGCCCCATGAAAGCATATCATATTAGGCCCCCCAGTCCAAACCAATCCAGTTATTTTCCTAATTTTTTAGGGCCCCTGTCACTCAGGGGCCCTTGGAATCGTCCTAGCTTTCCTCCCCCTTACGGCGCCCCTGCTGTCACTTATGTATTAAATAACCACAAACTAAGTCTTGGTTACATGCTGAACTCATGCTAATTCATCATTAATGAATTGTGACATGTTTTATCTCAAGCAGTTACAATATTTGTTACTATATCTGTTAAGTATTTAAACCTTTGTGAACTACTTGGAGGAATAAGTCATGAATGATACAAGTTAAATACTGATCTCATATTTGTTCCTCATCAATGAATCATGATGCATCTTTCATCCCAAGCAGTTACTGTCAGGGATGGGCCGATCCACTTCTTTTCAATTCTGGTCCGATTCTGATACACATCATACCAATACAGATTCAGATACACACCTGCTGATACCAATACAGATTCCTATACTAGAGCTCTTTCTACTTTAATATTTTAATATAATAAATGTATACATAATATAAATATTTTTATGCCAAAAAATCTTTAATTAGGCTACGAGTAGGGTAACATGAGCGTTTATGAGGCATTTGCAGTTCAGTTTGAATATCTTCCAAACAAGGATACGCAAGTGGATACACAATTTTTCTTCCACTGGCAACATTGTCGCTTACGCTTCGTTGTGATAACAGCCCCTCATGTATCACAATCTGTAGCGAGTGCGTAAAACAGTCCAAGCTAACGACTCCCAAATCATCCATTGCTTTTTTCATATTACTTGCATTGTCTGGCAAAATTGCATGTGCTTTGTTCCGTGGGATTTTCCACCAAATGCTACTTCCACCTCTCAAAAACTTATTTTTTTACAAAGATTGCAATCCTGTCCTACTAGTTGTCGTTAAAAGCGTAAAATACTTCCAGGTCGTCACCCTCTTATCTGATGCTCTTATGCTCCTCATACTGCAAAGGGTATGTGCATGACGCCACAACAGGCGGAAGTCACTGCGCTCACACCCACTGAGTGGCAAATAGACAGAGACAGCGTCAGTGTTCAGCTTGAATGCCACAAAAAATGTAGCTAAAATGGGAAAAGGCTGTCATGCGATCGATTATGCAAATCAATTTAACAAGAAATAGGAACTGTCTTATTACAAACTGCCAGGTTACAGCTCAGGTTAAGCTAAGAGTAAGTCTCTGACATGGATCAGTCACATGTGCTGATACCAGATCCATCTAATAGGTATGAATCAGTGCCGATACCAATCTGAATATTGGATCAGTGCTTCTCTAGTTACTATATTTGTTGCTATATCTGTTAATTCTGTGAACCATTGTGAACTACTGAAGGAACAAGTAATGAATAACACAAGTGATACTGATCTCGTTTGTTCATCATTAATGAATCGTGATGCATCTTTTATCTCAAGTAGCAACTATATTTGTTCATGATTTGTTCATAATTTGTACTTCAGCAGTTTATACCCTGTCAAGTAAAGTGTTACCGTATCTTTTCCCCACTTAACCGTATGTTTTCTAGGTGACGTGTAAACTGCGTTTGATCAGGTTAAGGTGTGGTAATGTCGAGGAAGACATTAGCTCCTTCTGGCAGATCACTGTTTCCTGGAAGACGCTCTTTGCTGATATTTAGCATATTAGTCTGCGATCTGTCAGCCGCGAGCCGGATGGGTGGACGCCTGGCAGAATTGGCTCCGGATGCTTGCTTCTTCAGATGCCTTCCTCCCTTGAGCTGTATCTCTCTGTCCTCCTGCTGCCATGGCTCCCTGACCCGTGCCGTCGTGTCAGGAGTGAGGCTGTGAGCTCATCACTCCCAGCCCGATGAAGGAAGCCACGCCAAGTGGCCTATCTGACCTGTCTGACTCGTGACCTGAGGACAAAGTCCCTTTAATGTGCATTTGCCGACCTCTGCCACTGACATCCCGCGCAACAGACATAAATGGAATATCTTAACTTAATTGGGAATGTGTGATTGGGGGGGGGGGGGCTTCTCACAGTGCTGTCATGACAACTGGGTGCAAACCACCCACGGAGATGGTGGCAGGGTGTTGTTGGGGTTGATGGAAGAGATAAAATGTTCCTTGGAAGCCATGCTTTGCTCTTTCAGGTTCCCATGCTTTGTAAGCAGGTTATGGTATTTTCACTTTAATGGAAGCTCGTGCTGTAACACCTGCCGTTGTGTGTGTGTGTGAGCTACCAGCTACATCAAGTGTTTAGCTTTTTCCACATACAATCTGAATTTCTCGTAATACCATTTGTTCTGACAGACAGAATGGAATAGAAATTGTGCAGCTATATATGTTGCATACTATCACTGGCGTGCACAGATAGAGACGAGGTGGTGCTGAAGCACTTGCCCTTTTGCCCTCAGTCCAAAAAAGTGCCCTTTTGAAAGACGTGATTTTTATTTTTTTTTTAAAGCTGCGCGATTTAAAAAGGTGTGAAAATAATGGCTTGATTTGTGCCCCTTCTTCAAAGACACCCGAACCCTGTCGCTTTTTCACTGTCACCGTGTCACGTGAACACGCTTGCAGTTCATTTGTTGTGAGGCGTGTAGCAGCGG